AAACCCTAGTGGCCAGTGCCGATCGATACAAGACTGCGCGATTAGGCTGCACGTACCCTCCTGTTCGGCTACATCTCTTAATACACAAGTGGCCTGAGGTGATAAAATCCCGTCCGCAGTTGCGTTCGCGTCTGTAGCCTCAAAGCGCCACTGCTATTGCAAGGCGTTACGGCGCGTCGTCGCGTGTGAGCACTGCCTAACTGGGCGTGGATTGAAACTAAGCCAAAGGCGGTCTTTTTCACCAATGATGTCATCCTGAGCCCGCAACTACTTTCGGTTTCCCGGCTGTCCTGGCCACGCTCCAGCTCAAGCCCGTTCGCAGGCTCTATCGTTTGGAGGGATTATGCCTGTGAAAGGTACAGAACGTAGGCATGATACAGTCGGTTTGTCGACAAAGCGCTGTGTCAACTAGCTCGGAATACTAGCTTACTCCCTCGATACGGTGCTCCTGAACTACACTCAGAGGAAAAAAAACATACGCAAAGAGGTTTGTGTACGGCTGAGATGGATTCGAGAACACAGTCACTGGCGGATGAGAGACTACTTCATCTTTGTAGTCAAACGGTGTCACGCGCCCATTCAACTGTATCAGCTCTCCTGAGAAATCAAGATTTTGCCTGCCGGCAATAAAAAAATAGCCTATAGTCAAAGCTACCAGAGGCATTCCTCACAAAACAAACTACACTTTTACCTAAGGTTCTGTATTTCGCATCAGTATGACGCCGAACTTCCAGTCCTTCTGAGAAGTACCCACGTTTATACCAGCTGTCCATTTGAATCTAAAATTTAGAAGTTGTACGAGGTCCAATTACAGAAGATGTAAAAATAAACAAAAAAAAATCAGACCTTATCGAAAGGACCGCGCTCCTGATTACTCGGGTCCAAGTAGTAAAATTGTGGAGCGGGAGGAGGAATCATTGACGGGGCAGCAGTAGGTTCTGGACCGGCACCAACAACCGGATGCTGTGACGGCATAGAGGGATGATATCCAGCTGGTTCACTTTGCTGCCGCACAGATAGGTAACTTCGTGAACTATCGGCTTCAACATTTGGAACCTTCACGTCTGCTGATGGTGGGTTGGGATCTCGAGGTGCAGAGCTTTTCTCAGTGCTCTGGTTCTCATTGTTCGTTTGTCTTTCATGCCTGAATTAGATTTTTTCTAACATTTTGAATTTTCCGGCGAATCCACAGCAAACTAAGCGAATCAAATGCTAGCGGGAAATTTAATCATGAAACCAACTTGTTCTCAGTGACTTCAGCGGC